AGTTGTTTGTGAATGAAGTTAGTGCCACAGGCGGGGTCCCCTATGCCAAAGACAGTCACAAGCAGACAGGTCTAGCAGTCCCAAGTTTTTTTGGTGTGGGAAGGCAGTGTTCAAAGGAGACAAGTGTGCCGGAATCGGCTCTTGGTCTCGACTCTGGAACTCCTCCCGAAACTGCATTTTACCAATTCAACCCTGATGCGGATGTCTTCGTTCCAAGTGAGGCTTTGCCAGAGTGGGCGCAGGTCATTGAAGATATCTATCAAGTTTGGGATGTTCATGCGTTTGCATGGCAAGGCGAATCACGTGCTACTCACTTCATGACATGGTATGTAGCACCGACAACTGGTCGTACCCAATGCCTTTATGGTAGAAGGATTGCCCTGTTTGCTGATTTTTGGAATTGGCGAGAGAATTTTCGACGTAAATGGGAGGATGAACTTGATCCTCATGTAGATTTCCAGCTTGTTCTTGTGTTTCCTCCGCCTACCCAAATGGAATCAGGAATTGCTGGACATGTGATCATCATCATTCAGCACAATTCTCCGGAGTGGTCTTCACTGATTCTCACGACTTTTGACCCGGCCATAAATGGGGGTCATCCATTCCACAGAGCATTTTCCTTCACTGAACAGCTTCAGCTGCAAGAGGTTTTGGGTAGGATTGGTTATACTCTCGAATGTGCGCATCACGCTCAATGTGTCTTCAGGCTTCGATCTCAGTTATTTGCAGCCACTGAACGTATCAGAGCATCTGATGGTGATGCCATTGATTTGATTGTGAACCGACATTACTATCCTGCTCAATGGAATCCTCCTTTTTTTCCTCAGACACCTGGTGCTGAAGGGTTAGAGTTGTTGCAAAAGAGAGTCGTAGTGAGAAAAGGTCAAATTGGAGAGAAGTGTGCAGATCCTCATGAGCATGGCAATAAGAAGTGCCCCGTCTCTTTGTACAATGCTCTGCCAGACGATGATAGTGATGTCGAAGGCTCCCCATTCACTCTAGCAGAGCTCTTTCGTCGGCAACGAGTGAGTCAATCCGATTTCATTGTTTGCACATGGGAGATGCACGATGGCGTTACTCACTTCGAAATGCATTCAAACAGTCGCTTTGACCCCATGCAAGTCAGTCGAATGTTTCGTGCAAATCATAAGCTGATCCAGGATTGCTCAGACCTGTACAGTGTGAAGTTCACTCGTGATTCATGGCAGTTTCAGCCAAATTGCTGGCACATTGGCTCCATCTGGCCGGTGTCGCTCGACAGAGCATTGGTTGCATGTGTCGTCTATCATAATGGATGTGCTTCAGCGCGAGCTGTCACACTGCCTCGTCGCACCAGAACTGACTTTTTGAGAGATGTTCTCAATGTGACCTATGGTTCCTTCGTCAGGGTTAATGGCGTCATTGCCGGTGATGTTGTAACCTTGGAGAATGGAGATGTACTTGAATATCACAGTGCTGACCACGGACAACTCTTTTCAGTTGAAGCAGCTGACAGCAAGGTGCAAATTTGCCTGGATGCGACTGTTACCTCACACAAGCCGGTTTTTGATGTGGATGGTGAAGCTTTTGAGTTGCTTCCAAGCATGAGTGTACAAGCTGCACTTGAAAACGATGATGCTTGGGTTTTTCAGTTCATCCCGGAAGGCACAGATCTGCATAAAGAAACCTTTGAAGAACTGCATGCCCAACACGATAGGCAGGATGATGCGGTTATTGCGTATGAACTATACGTAGATGGGGCAACACATGGCAATTGGTCGGCCTGGGCTGTAGTTGCAGTCTCTGTTACTGAATCGGGGCGAACATTCAAGGGCTGCATCGGCGATATTACTGAGATCGTCAGAGATTCACCAAGGTGGATAGGTGCGGAGGGGCACACTAATGTCGATGCCGAACTCACAGCAATGGCAGTGGCCACAGCATTTGCCTGCTTTGGCTCTGCTGACTCACATTTTACGGTCAGGCCAGATCTTGCTTTAAGCAAGAGATTCCTTGACATCGAATCCACCAGCCGACAATCCAGTGTCTTGGCGAAGGTAGTCCATGTGCTTGGACAAATCAAACCGGACAATGTTGAGGTCAATGAAGTTAGAGCTCACCGTGGTGATCCATGGAATGAATTGGCTGATGCGGTCGCCAAATGGATTGTAAGAAACAGACAGGCTGTTGGATCCGTTCCATGGAAAACCTTGCATTATTTGGCTGACTCTCCCACAACACAAAAATGGGAATGGATTCGACAACAGAGTGCCTCTTTTGCGAAAACAATGCCAAAGCTTCATGGTGAAGCTGTGTGGCAGCCAACACCTTCTTGCAAGAAGGTAGGTGTTCGAAGGGCTCATGGATCACAAAGTGTCGATGATCTTCGCCTCTCGCTGACAATTGCTACATACAATGGATTGGCACTTGACGAGACTGATGGGGCTTCCATTACATCTGGTGCGCGATCTCTCCGTCTGGATTCACAATTTCAAAAAAGACAAATAGCGGTGGTTGGGATTCAAGAGGCAAGGACCTCTGCAGGAATCAGGTGCACTGACAACTACAAGATTTACTCATCAGGGTATGAGCAATGTGGAAGGTCCAAACATTTTGGATGTGAGCTGTGGCTACATAAGGCACTTCCCATCTCTAAGCTGCAGGATGGTAGTGCTGTCAGGCTCAATGACTGCAAGGTTACGATCATTGTCTCTGAGCCTAGACTGATGGTAGCGCAACTTGAAGGCCCAATTTGTTTGTGTTTCATCGTTGCTCATGCTCCATGTGTGTCGGCTGATCGACCGTTTGCACAGGTCAAACAATGGTGGACAGATGTATCTGGCAAAGTGTCGAATGCAGTAGGAAAAAATTCGGTCATCTTCATTGATGCCAATGCGCCACTTGCTGGCCATGCAACGGAGTTCTTCGGAATGCACCATGCGGAGGAAATGAATCCACAAGGCTTTGAATTCCAAGATTTTTTGACTGCCAATGAGTTTTATGTGCCATCTACATTTGCAAGCCATTGCGGTCCTTCAACCACATGGCATCATCCTAGGGGCATCCAGCTTAGACGGGATTACATCTTGCTGAGCCGATCCATGTTCATGTTGTGTGTCAAGTCCCACATTTGGAGCGACTTCGATGGTGGGTTTGGACATCTTGATCACTGCCCTGCGGTTTGTCATTTGGAAGGTATTATGACGCTCAAGCATTGTGCCAAAAAATTGAGATGGGATTTTTCCAAGATGCAAGATGTTGATGCGCAAAGGGCCTTTGCTGAGGCTCTGAAAACACTGCCAATGCCCACTTGGGAAGTCTCAATTGATGATCATTCAGCGCTTCTTGAGTCCAATATCCTGCAACTTGCCACACAGCATTTTGGAGCCTCAAAAAGAACGCGAGCGAGACCCATTTTGAGTGAGGGCACGATTGCAGGTATCCAATTGAAGAGGCAGGCCCTTGACATGGCACGTTCGCAAGGCTTTCAGGATGAGGGCATTGTTGCCGAGCTTAAGTGCTTGGAAAAGAGTGTTCGTTCGATGGTACTTCATGACCAGAGGAAATGGTATGCAAATTGGCTTGACTCTATCAATGAAGACTGGGCTAGTCACGATATTGCACAGGTCTACAAACGACTGCAGAGGTTGGGAAGAAGGAAGAAAGATCTGAACAAGGGTCCCAGGCCGTTGCCCAAGCTGAAAATTTCGGATGAGTGCTTTGCTAGCAGCTTTGAAGAATGTCAAGGAGTTTGGAAGCAACAGTTCGCAGTCATTGAGGCCGGCTTAGACGTGACAGAGATGCAGCTCGCCCAATTGCATGAAACCACACACCAAGGTGTTGAGCAGGACCCTGAGTGCTGCCCTGACCCGTGTCAAATCCTCGCCTTAATTCGCAAGTTCAAAAATGGCAAGGTACCAGGACCAGGTCAGCTACCTGTTGATGTCATTAAGAGTGGTGGATATGCAATGGCTCAGATCCTTACTCCGCTTTTGGCAAAAGCCAATTGGCACATGCATGAGCCGCTCAATTGGAAGGGAGGATTGTTGGTCCCCCTTTTTAAGGGTAAAGGTTCACCGGCTGACCCTTCAGCCTATAGATCGATTTTTCTTTCTGACATCTGTGCCAAAGTCCATCATGCGAACATGAGGCAGAGGCTTGCCGAGATCTGGAATAAGGATGCTTCACTTATACAGCTAGGGGGAAGGAAGGGATGCTCGACTGACGTTGCCCATCATATGTTGCATGCGCACTTAGCTTGGGCACGGGTTGCCAATGTTTCATGTGCGATTTTGTTTGTCGACCTTCAATCTGCTTTCTACTCAGTGCTGAGAGCCTCCTTTTTTCAGGGTGAATTCCATGATGATGCAATTTGCTATGCAATGAAACACCTCGGTATTACACCCGATGAATGGCAGGAAATCAAAACAGCAGTGGCGTCCGATAATGCCACTGACGGATTGAAACCCCAATATGGTAGTATTTTGAAAGACATGTTTTCAGCTACACACTTTTCCATGCAGGGATTGCAAGAAAAGACAGCCACAATGCGTGGCACGAGACCAGGTGACCCTGTTGCGGATATTCTGTTCAACATGGTGTTCAGGCTTGTTGTTCTAGACGCCAGGAAGAAGATTGAGGCTTCTACAGGGATGAGTTGCTTTGGATCTCCTAAAACAGCTGCAGATGTGTCTGTGCCAACACATGTACCAGACAGGGGTTTTGCTGAAGTGACGTTTGTAGATGACATTGCTTATGCAATTCATTCAAGGTCGCCAGATGATGTGATTGGCTCCCTTCAGCTAGTTGCTTCTTGTCTCCACGATTCTGCTGCTTCGCGTGGGCTTGCGATTAACTATCAGGCAGGGAAAACCGAAGCCCTGATCAAGCTCGCAGGGCCCGGCTCGAAGAGTACGAAACACAAAGTATGGCATGTGCATGGAGGGAGATTGCCGGTTGTTACGGAACATGGCGTGCAGTCCTTGCAACTAGTGCATTCTTACAAGCATCTTGGATCATTCATGCAAGATCATGCTGTTGTTCAGAAGGACATCCGGTATCGAACAGCGCAGGCACGTAAAGCCTTTGGCCAGTTGCATCGTCAATTTTATGGCAAAAGGAATGTTGAGGACAGAACCAAGAGTGCTGTCTTTGCTGCGCTGGTGATGTCGCGTCACGTTTACAATGCACACACATGGGCGTGGGTCACACAGAAGGACGTTGTGCAGTGGGAAAACGGCCTTAGAGCGCAGGTTGCCTCCCCTGCCAAGCATGTGATGCGTCCTGTGCCTCCCTTTCAGTTCACCACCGCAGAGATTTGTGCACTGATTGGGCTCAATGGGCCCCAGGATGTACTGCACGCCAACAGACTTAGGTATGTCAAAAGAGCCATTCACACAGCTCCAGCTGCGCTATGGGCATTTTTACATGCCAATGAACATGCAAGCTCCTGGATGAAATGGTTATTGGCATCCTACAAATGGATGTGTACTCATTTGCCTTGTGTTGCTTTACCAGAGTTTGAGGATGTTGGTGAACTGCTTACCTTCATTGCTATTGACGAGAGATGGAAAGGTCGAGTCAAGGCTGCGTTGAAATCCTGTTTGAGGCATACGACTGCAGGCGCACAGGGCAAGCTCTGGACATATCGCCTGCAGATGAAGGTGTCTCATTTTGTCTCCTTGCAGACTGGTTTAGATCAGGTCAAAGTAAGGAAGTGGAAGTGCAACTTGTGCGATGCAAGCTTTGACTCGAAGAAGGCATTGGCAGTTCATGCAAGACATAAACACAACTATCGAACCCAGCTCAAGTATTTTGTCTTAGGAGATGAATGCTTGGCGTGTGGTAAAAAATTCTTCAGCCGCACCCGCTTGCTGGCACACACAGTTGCTTCAGATACTTGTAAGAACAGCTATCTTGCTTGCTTCGTTCCAGCAGCTGACGAGGTTGTTGAGCAAATCGAAGGTGAAGAAAGAGAACAGATGCGAGCCCTTAGGGCTCAGGGATGGTCAGCCTCCAAGGCCTTTCTCCCTGTCACAAGAATTAGCGGTCCCCTCCTTCCCGGAAGTGGAACGGAAGATGCAGCCTTAATGAAGGCTCGATGGAGTGTCCGCATTTGTGAAAGTGGTCGAGCTTTTGAGGGTTTGGATGGCTATTGTGAGCAAAGCACGGAGACCTCTGACCACAAGGTCGAGATCTTGCCCTTTCTGCTGCAGTCAAATGGAGGTACGATTCAAGGAGAAGCAGGCATATACATGCAGTTTGGCCTTGCGGCCGAGGCCGCAAGGCTGCATATCAATTGCTTCCTTTTCGTGCATTTTTTCAGCGGTTACAGAAGGAGGGGCGATTTGCAACATTGCATCGAAAATCATGAGATCATTGGCAACCAACAAATCTTCTGCATATCAGTCGATTTATGTTTAGCCAAAGAATTCTCTGACTTGACAGATGCTGACACAAAGGATTTCTGGATTCAGAAAATGCGTCAGGGACACGTTTTGGGCATCGGTGGGGGACCCAGTTGCGAAACTTGGTCTGCGGCACGGCATGTGCCCGGTGGACCATCACCTGTGCGCACCTATGACGAGCCATGGGGCATTGCGGGCCTGACCAGCAAGCAATGGAAACAGGTTTCCACTGGCACTACGTTGATCCAGTTCCTAATCGACCTTATTGTGGTTGCGTCACAATTAGGACTCTGCGGGTTTCTTGAACATCCTCAGTTTCCACTCTGGCTGATGAAAGTGAGACCGGCTTCGGTTTGGACGTTACAAGCACTGAGGACATTAGCAAGGCTTGAATGCATTCAGATTTGCTCTTTTGATCAGTGCGTGTTCGGGCTTGATGCGGTCAAACCCACAACCCTCATGCTTTTGAGGTTGCACACTTTCAGAGATTTGACGCTTACCAAAGGTCTCGGGGGCAGATGCTCACACAGGACCAAACACAAGCCATTGCAAGGAATTCAACCAGACGGCTCTTTTGCCACAGCCCGGGCGAAGGTCTATCCCGAGGCGATGAATCGAGCCTTAGCCATTGCAGTGTCAAGGTTTTTGACCGAAAGGCAACTGCAGAGCAGTATGCCGAGGTTGCCAATTGACCTGCAAAAATTAAACAGTACAGAGTTCACAGATGGTTCCATTGTGCAGCCGGATTACCATCAGTGAGTGCGTGCAAGTTCCGAGCGTTGCATTGACGCAGTATCGACAAAGTGACAAAAGTTCTATACAACATATTCTTTAATTTGCTATCATTTTATGATGTTCTACACACAATACATCACAATACCGTCACATTCGATGCCACGAATGTGTGACTTCGTACTAGAGAGAAAGGTGCATCGTTCTCAGGTCGTGCCAATTCTCACTGCGTCGTTCCAGGGCACAGACTCTGTGATTGCCAAAGCGTTGACGAAAGCCAAGGCAGCGCAACCGATCACGTACGACTCATGGTCCAACTTGAAAGGGTCCAACGTATGATCTGGATTATATCTGGATGATTTGGACGTGTGATGAGGGTTAGATTTTGTATGTAAAAATAGTAAAAACATTCAATTATTGAAATGTCCGTGTGTTTCATCACTCTTCAAACATGGCACTGGAAATTCCCACTTAGTTCATTCTTAGTTCTATGATTTGCCCAGTGAAACATCCATGGCAATGAGAATTCCCAGCTACATGTAGCCATGTAGCCATGTTTCATTGCCATGGGGTATGTCCTTTTTGGATCTTTTTGGCAGGAAATGAACATGATCAAGCCTGGAGACAATGTGGTAGCACTGCATGGCCAGAAGGAGGAGTGCCCTGGTGTTTTCCTCAGCTCATGGATGCTATGATGCGCTTGCGATGGCTTGCAGGTATCATTCACAAATGTCCAAGTTTTGGTCACTTTGTTTTTTTATTTGCATACCAATCTCACCAACGAGATCATCACCGCCAACCGTTCTGTGTCAAAATCTGAATTTACTCTGGCCTAGGCCTAGATTTCTTCTTTACACTTTAAAGAAACGGCTGGTCTATTCCATGCAAACAGGTGTTTGACTTTTGTCGTATTGCCGTCGATCTGGGTTTGCTGCAGTGGCAGCAGTGGCAGCAGTGGCATTGCATCCCCAGCACTTGGGACACTGGAAGGTGTCCCCAAGATGCTGGGTTAGCGATGTGGCAGAGTAGGAAGTAGCTCTCGTAAGGCACCGACAAACAATTGTGATTAAGACAAGACAAGTTTGGTCGATACATGTCGATACTATATAATATATACATAAATAACACATTGTCATGGTTTTCCAGTTTCAGACCGTTTATATTTGCTTTACTAAGGTCACTCCAACTTGCTGAAGATTGCAGCAAGCCGAGCGTTTTTATCCTTCAGCCATTCACAAACCGCATGACTACTGAAATAGAGGGAAAGGTATGGACAAATATGAAAATATGGGTTGGATGCAGCCAGAGACAGCTTCTTTGAGACCCCGAGATTCTGGCAACATTCGTGCTCTGTCTTTCGGCCGAGGTTTGCGTCAGCTGAGATATGCCACGTGTACTTGGTATTCTCTGCTGAAAGATGTTGTTAGAAAGATGTTGTTACACCTACACACATTTAAAGATCAAGTTATCTGTTGGGGAACAAGTATAAACTGTTGATAACTGTTGTTCCCCTCATTGATTCACTTTCGGAGTCTGGCTTGGCAGAGGAGGCGCAGAACTCTGCGCTTCCGACTTTCGACCGCTCCCGATCTTGGCTCTCCACGAGCTCATCCCAGGGGCTGCGCACAGCAGTTCCCAGTGGCGTCTAAGCTTCGCGGGAAACTCGCGATCATATTTTCCACTGCGTGCAACGTGCAATTCTGTGGAGCGAGGTCCAAAAGAGAGGCAGGGAAAATTGCGAAATATACAGTATTATATTGCGATATATTGAGATCGAATTTCAAACAACGCTGCAATGGGACATGACTGGATTTCCAGTTGAGATTTTGGCAAGATTGTGTAAGATCTTTTGCACTCTTTTGCAGACAACCCTTCAAAGGGTCAGGATCCATGACACAGCTTTGCAAGCTTCAAGGAGCGCTATCACGCCAACGGAGGGGCAGTTTGTTCTCCGTCTGTGCGTGATGTATCAGCAAAGCTCTTTGCAGCTTTGTAGCAAGAGCGGTGGGGCTGAATTCCCCTCTTGGGCCATCAGCAACAGCAGCAGCGTAAGCATCGTCATCAGTACCACCAACATAGTCACCACAGCAGCTTTGTTAGATTCGTTAGCATGTCCTTATGTTGTCATCTTAATGGATGCATGTCTTGTTGATACGAGCAATCTCATCATCTTCATCCTCGTGCTTCTCCTCCCATACCTCTCTTCCTCATCATTGCACTGTTGCACCCCCCGCCCCCCACTGCCAGTCTTCTTTCCTCACCCTTCGGCCTCAAGTTCTGGGTTGCCCTGCATAGCACTGGAATCCCAGCCAGTCACTGAGGCTGTTAGATGAGCCTGCTACCCGAGCAAACCTAATCGCATTGGAAACTGCTGCCCCTGACAGCTTTACCCGTAACTTGGAAGCATTCACTTCATTGGGAGATTTGAGGCAATTCATGCTGGATGCCCATCTAGATGGGAAGTTCAGGACGCAATTGTGTAATTCTTGATATATATTATTGTATCATAACATACGGTATCTCCATGGGAGGTTTTCCGACAAGTTTTCCAGTCAGATCATTTTCCAAATTTTCCAAGGAAAATGCAAACTTATTTGCACCATGGGTCCTGCTTGTTGGGACCCACCAATGCTGATCAAGCTCATCGAGACTTGGCAGATCTTGGCCCTGATGCCGTGCCGAGAACGCCAAACGCTGTGTTGTGTGGCCCGCCGTGTTGCCCCAGCGCAGTGTCAAGGATCAGGGCATGAATATCGCCCGCCTGAACTTCTCGCACGGAGATCATGAGGTGAGGTTTTCCATTGTACTGTTTGACAAAGAAAAAGGTTATCACATTCGGTGCAAAATGTTGTGAACCTCATTCTTACAAGACAGAAACGGAA